TCATTGCCAAATAATTGCCTCGTCAAACTACGAAAACGTTCGTTTGTCACAAAATAAATTACACTTGTTTGACTTAGATTTGAGGGCATGGGCTTGAGCATGATGTAATTATGTTATCTATCACATTCTCTAACCTGTCTGTCTTTAAATTTTTTAAACAGCTCTGGATGCCGGTCGGCGGGTGCTTAGCCAAGTCTGATGTGTTGGCTCCCTTGGTTTGCAAGGATCTAAAACATTTCTCACAGACAGGCCTCGTGGTGTCCGTAGGCTTGCCCTTACTGTCAGAGATATAGCTCAAATACTTCCAAATGTCGCTTCTGGCGTCTTTTTTGTCAACAAGCCGAGGCGCAGCGGCAGTTACACTCCCACTTGCAGCCATGCTTCTCTTTTTTTCACATGCTCTGGCAGCTAGCGCGTGGCCGAATGCACGAGAGAGGGGAGGGACTTAGAGCGTGCTTGAGAGGGGCGGGACTGCAGGCACGGCTGCAGTGCAGGGAGTGGAAGCAGAGCGCTGAACACACACGGCTCTTATTAAAACAGCGCTTTCTCACCGGAGTACTTTTCCCCGTCATTCTTAAAGTACCGATACTAATGAAACGGAGGAATCGTACCGTTTTTAACGGCAGGGTATCGCGGTACCTTTCAAGTATCGGTACACCGTGCAACACTAGGACAGATGCATGAATATTGTTAGAGCCAGTATTTTTGTTTGATAAGAAAGGCCACCTAATTGTGACGTCTGTAGTCAACACACTATAAAAGACTACAATTCCCACGGCGCCTGCGCTAAAGTGACCGTAATGGGCAACCTGCTTGAAAGACGCCACCGAGGAACAGTTTTTAACCGTACAATTAAGTTGTTTGTTATTTTATTTGAGTTTTGTCTATTTGTTTTGAATATTGTAAATACCTCTTTTCCTTGTTGCATGTGTAAACGTTTGTTATTTAATTTTGAGCAAACACATCGCATAATACCATCCAAACCATCGGCGACCAAACAAATCTTCAAACTGTAAGTAATATAAAGGAAGAAAACAAGTTAAAACATGTCCGTTTAAGGCAGGGGTCTCAAACTCAAGGCCCGGGGGCCAAATCTGGCACGCGACTTCATTTTATGGCCCCGCAAGAGCTTGCAAAGAATATAATACGTTTATTATACAGTTACATGCCACTTTACAGAAGCAGGTTGCCCACAAACTACATGTCCCACAATGCATCTCGTTTTGTGACATGCACACTGAAGAGACTTGCAATTATTTGCCCTGGACTTCTGCTTTCAGACGTAGCTAATTACTAAGTTATTATCCTATCCGATAATAATCCAATTCAGAGGCAATAATGTAATATAATTAGGGCTGTCAGTCGATTAAAATAGTTAATCGCGATTAATCGCACATTTTTTATCTGTTCTAAATGTACCTTAGAGGAATATTTTTCAAGTTTTTAATACTCTTATCAACATATGAGTGGACAAATATGCTTTATGCTAATGTTTATTATCATTTGAACAATGAAAAATATTCTCATGAATATTAAACACAACAACCTCTGAACATTACAAATATTCGCCTCAATTCAACCTGGAACCTCTCTCATACAATAATACAATACAAATGGTGTGTGTGTGTGTGTGTGTGTGTGTGCAGGGCCGCCCCTTGCCAACTTGGGGCCCCAAGCGACATTGTGAGATGAGGCCCCCCCCCCAACCGACAGGAGTGAAAAAATGTTTTGCAAATATAATTCCTGTTTATTATTATTATTATCAACACAGTTACTTTTTTATACAGTGAGGTAAATGGTAAATGTGCATGTATGTCGTTCAGTATGCGTTTACCGGTAAATACGTCAGCATTTCCTGCCAAATACTAGCCTCAAAAAGATTAAAATATAATTAATGCAAATAAACTACTTCTACTAATAATGATAATCATAATCAATTTAATAATAAAAATAATATATTATTTTATCATAATATAGTTGTAATATAGTCAAGACAAAACATGCTTATGACATGCTCAAAAACTGATATTTCTTAAATCTGTATTCAAATGTAGTTCCCTCTGTCAGCAATGTATCAACAACTACACACACATTTCTATCAGTATTTCTCTGTGTTGTGGTTGACATGACGTTATTCATTAAAAAATGAATAAAAGGGGAAAAAATGCTCCATGTTTTTTAGGCTGTAAACTTGAACTGTTATGTAAGCCAACTAAACAGACAGTGCATCTCTCTTCCTCATGTACATTAGCAGATCAAAGGCATCACATACTTGAATGAATGGTAAATAAAGAATGCTGGAAATAACTGCATCTCCATTAGCCTATATGCTCTGCAGAGACCTTCTTCATGTCATGAATTGCAGCTGATGATTTAATATGGCAATTGGCAATTTGACTTATACAACATTCGCAAGTTGTACATTTGACTCATACAATAACCCACCTTCGAGTGATGCTCTAGTTTCTTCATGTTTAGTTTTTTGCGCCGGACTGAAACTGTCTTTTCACCGACATCTCTTCACCTGCACTAGTGGCCGTATCAAAGCCGTGATTGGTCAGATGTCGATTCATTGCAACGGTGTCGGGTTACAGACGTGCTCCCCTTGTCACCTCTCACTGGAGCGTCCACACTACAGCTTCAAAAAAAGCTTGGAGCTGGGCGTGTCTGAAGCTTGGGGATTGTATTCAAGCACCGCGACCAACAACCAATCACATGTATCTCCCGCCCCCGACATAGAAAGCAAAAACCCCCGGGGATTTTATGGGAGCAATATATATATAAACTCCCCAAACAGGCGAAAACCTACCAGTTTCACCCACTGTCTCTGCCACTTCCCTCCATGCCTGGTTCCTCCGGTTTGTATCCGTTTAGGTGAAGAGGGTCTGGACATACAAAACCGGGTGATTCGCTACGGCGATAATTAGTTTCTCCTCCATCTTTTTTTGAAATATAGAAATGAACGGCGGGATATCTCTCCCAGCTTAGACGCGGTTTGATTGGCTACGGCTTGATCTGTCAGATTTTCCGAAACGGGATTTGATTGGCTGGCGCTGGCTACTCCGGCGTCTCCGACGCTAGACGCCGGAGACGGACCGCTCTGCTACTCACAATTCAGTTCGGCGAAAAAAAGCGGCAACGTGACGTCACCCCATTCAAAGTGAATGGGCAGATTGAAGCTGTCGACGCTGCAGACGCTGTAGTGTAGACGGGCCGTCACTCTCGCGGGGGGTGCGCGGAGAACTGAGCGGAGAACTGCGCACAGCAGCTGAGGCCCTCTGGGCGGGGCCCCCTGCGCAAGACGGGGCCCCATGCCGCCTGCGTGATTGGCCTGTGGGGGGGGGTGTGTGTGTGTGTGTGTGGGGGTGTGTGTGTGTGTGTGTGTGTGTGTGTGTGTGTGTGTGTGTGTGTGTGTGTGTGTGTGTGTGTGTGTGTGTGTGTGTGTGTGTGTGTGTGTGTGTGTGTGTGTGTGTGTGTGTGATGGATCGTTGGAGCTATGTGCAACTCAAGGCATATGCTCGAACGGGAGCTGCCTGGACGTTGCAATCATGTTGCGCACTGAATGTGCTGACTTTTCGTACAATGCCCCACCAGCTTCCTGCATAAAGTCAAGTGCTCGGCGCAGTTGTGGCGAAATGTCGCTCCTCTGTTTTCATTTAAACAGCTCCATATCCGTTAGCGCAGCTAGCTAGCACCAGATGCTAACAATAACAATGCACGTAAGGTCTCTCTCTCGCTCGCTCGGGCCACACATACACACACCCTCCCGGTCCTCCCAACAGCCAGTCGGTGCCTGCCGGTGAGCGTGGAAGTGTGGTCAGCTGCAAGCGGGCAGCAGGAGCGGGGTTGTCAGCATCAGCTTGTAGATGGTATTTTAAACTCGATGCGCTCTGAAACTACGGGGCGGCCGAGGACACAAAATACACATGCGTTAATCGCGTTAAAATAATTAGTGGCGTTAATTTTTTTTTGCGTTAACGCGTTAACTTGACAGCCCTAAATATAATACATTATTTTATATATATATTTATATAGTTACAACCGGCCCTTTGAGTGCAACCTTTAATGCGAATGTGGCCCGCGATGAAATTGAGTTTGACACCCCTGGTTTAAGGCGTCTAGTGGCTTGATAGATAAACAAGGAAGGAAGCCACGACAAATATAAACCCCCTGTTTTTATCATGGAGAATCAGCATCCCCTCAGTGTGCGCCACTGTTTAAGGAACAGTTCTTTTTCAATGACTTAAATTCCCAGTAAAGACTTATTTTAGAATGCTGTGCATATTGAAGGCCCCTGAGATTCAGAAACAATGGACAATGAATACAGCTTGACTCTGTCTCCAGGCATTTATGGATGCACATGTACTCGTTCAACTGTACATCCTTGACTCTGACCAGAGTAAAATGTGCACAGGTCATTGTTTCTGTTATTTCCTAAAAATAATTGTGTCCCATATAGCATGGCCCGATTAACCCACCAGGGAGCCGGAGCTGTGGGCTGTTGTTGACCATGCTCCTCCATCTCTTTGTGCATTGTGTATGAGGTTAACTTCAATTGCTGCACATCAACTGACCACGCATGCATGGCATATTCAATATATTTTCTCTTCCGCCACAGAAATCAACCAGTGCTTCTAACACACAATATAGTTTTAATTATAAATACTGTTATATAAATCTGACACAGTATAGTGTACAACATTGATCTGAGAATATATATTAGATACTTATACAGGACCCTCACTGCTCCTATCATCTCAAACCTTAATCATCAAACAACAGCGAGTTGTTTTTCTCTCAGGGTGCTCTGATTAAAAGGGACATTTAAATTCAAGAGTGGATTGAGAAAAGCCATTCCCACTGACAGCAATTCTTGTTCACAGCACATTTCTCAGCAGCTTTGTTCATAGATTATTTGTGCTCTGCAGTGGCGATGTTTTTAATTATTGAAGAAATGCAGTGCAAACACAGAATAAAATAAACAACCTAATTACGCCACATCAAACCTAAGTCATTGTCTATTAAAACATTTATCCTGGGTTTGTTTTCTTCAAACAAGGCTGCCTTGGGTATACAGTATTGTCTGAATTCTAAATTGCCCAATTATTTCAAAAAGTTTAAACAGGGGGACTTTTAATTAAAGATGTACTTAATTGGAACATTGCATTGAAACATCAAATCAACAAATGTCTTCAATAAAAGATCAGGATTATGTTCACAGCCATGAGAGAATACTAAGAGACAATACATTCACAAATTACATTATTACGTATAGGTTTAATTGTTACTGTGCTCTTTCAACAACCATGTAATTTAGCAGAGGAAGAATGGCGGGTGGACTGTTCCTGGTGAATAAATTAATATGCTGCCCAGATACATGCATCTGCAAATCTGACGTATGTTCTGAATTATTCAGCATGTTATTCATCTGACACATAAAGAGCTAAGAAAATACTGCACCCATAAATGTTGCTTTTGTGTGTGTGTGTGTGTGTGTGTGTGTGTGTGTGTGTGTGTGTGTGTGTGTGTGTGTGTGTGTGTGTGTGTGTGTGTGTGTGTGTGTGTGTGTGTGAGAGAGAAACAGTGAGCATTAATATTTCTATTTGAGTTCATACAGTACATGTGCTCAGCTCATGCGTGATTTGAAGCAGTTCAACTCTTGATTCTCAAGGACTCAAGGACAACATTGATTTACATTTTACTTATTATATGTTGCCTGAAAAACAACAGGAAATGTCAGACATTACTTTTCCCCCCTAAGACAATGCAGCTAACAAATATATCGTCTATTGTGTATTACCTAATAAGCAGCACAGATGTTATACATTGCTTAACCTTGTCATTTTCTCACTTTTCAAATAATATAATAGGCTTATCAATGACCATATTGTTGTTTTTTATATAGCAAATAATCTGTTATTTGTTTTAATCTTATTTGGTTAGGTTTAGTTTTCCCCAGTTTGCTTTTACTGTATGACACAATGAGCACAGATGAAAAATAGAAAAAACACAGCAACTGGACAATGCACTGGGAAACCTCCTCAATACTCATATTACATTCACGTTTCTTTACTAAAACATTTTGAGATATGTTGTTACCTCCACTTAAATCATCAATGCACAGTCAGAGAGTTTAATCAGGGAAGTTATCTCATGCATTGTGGGAGTCAAAGCTGTGGTTTATCGAGACAAAACCTTTTGAAAGTACTGCAAATATAGTTTTGGTTGTCATTCACGTTATATTTGGGGGAATTAAGATACAATGCAGTTAGATGTCAGGTTCATCTGGTTGTTGTGAGTTTAATCAATTTGCACATTTGTTTGTGATGTTGAGTCAAACAACTTAATTTGATTGGCAATCATCTCTAGCAACCCTCTAGTGTCCGGTATTCAAGCAATTAAACGCACCAATGCACAAGCAGCCGTGTCATGGTTCTCACTGTGAAAAAATCACAAATGCAACAAATATTGAAAAAGATAATATATTTTGTATTGGAGTGCAAGTTTGCTGTACCTATGATTTGTATAATCAAAGTGTTTGCCACTGATGCCAAATAGTTTTAACTGGCTAATTGCAACTGTCATGTTAGCCATGATATAAAAGTAATTTATGATTGACATCTACGCATGACAAATTACAAGAGAGCAGCACATGTAATACCATTCAGAGGCAGGGAGGGTGAGAGTGAGATCGTTCAAGAGACAAGTCAAAATATCTTCATAATCATAATCTTGGAACAAGCAGCAAAAATGGGGCACATCCCATTGGGGAGTCATCGCTGACGGGGTTGAGATGGATGCAACGTCATAGTAAACAACTCCAGATCAATTGTACAATAGACAGCTTTCACTTATTTGCTTTGTGGGCTAGTCATTCACTCTTCTGTCACAGTAAGCCTATCAGACATTCATTTGGACCAGCACCAGAACAGGCGGCGCCTCAGCCACTTTGGCTTTGCGACACAGCAGATGAGTCAGGCTCCTAAAGGACGGCGTGGCGCGGAGGAGAAGTTCCTTCAGACCTGCACGAAACTCTCTGCGGATCAAGCAGTAGAGCACGGGGTTCAGGCAGCTGTTGGTGTGTGCCAGACACACAGTCAGGGGGAAGGCATAGGCCTGCGCATTGTAGAAAGCCTTGCTAAAGGGCACAAGGTCAAACTTTATGAGCACTCCCCACAGAGTCAGCGCCTGGTTAGGAAGCCAGCACAGAAAGAAGGACAGAACTACGATCACAATGGATTTGGTCACTTTAGAGCGACGCCTCTGACGTTCCTGCTCCACCTCTGGGCCACCGGCTCCTGCGATACGCTGGCTGAGGATGAAGCGCACCAGCAGCAGGTAGCAGACAGTGATAATGATCAGAGGGATAAGGAAGCCCAGCAGGACCTTCTGCAGCTGGTAGAGACCCAAAAGAATCTGTGGATCCCAGCTGCCTGAGTCTGGAAAGCGCACCAGGCAAAGCTCCTCATCAGAAACTTGGAAGCTGGTGGAGTAGATGGCATGAGGCAAAGTTGCCAGCAGAGACACGGTCCAGATGCCCAGGCTCGTCCACTTTGCTCTGGTGGCTGCCGCACGCCGGCTGTGCATCTTCATCGCGGTGGAGATGGAGTAATAACGTGCCACGCTCATAGCTGTGAGGAAGTATACACTGGCGTACATGTTCATGGTGGTGACAGAGCTGACGATTTTGCACATCACACGGCCAAATGGCCAGCGGAAGTCCAATGCTGTGTCCACCGCCCAGAACGGCAAAGTCAGCACAAACTGCAGGTCTGTGATAGCCAGTCCCATCACAAAACAGTTGATTGATGATTGTTTCTTCCTGTAACGTGAGTGCAGCAGATACAACGCCAGTGAGTTTCCTACCAGCCCCAGTGCACAAACTATGGAGTAGACACAAGCTATCAACATACGCACCACCAGACTGGAGCTGTCTGCTTGAAACTCCATGATAGATTCCTTAGAGAGGAGCTGCAGCCAGCAGTGCAGAGACATGTTGATTGTGGAGCTTCCGCTGCAGTTTCCAAAGCTGTCCTCCTGTAGTATCTGTGTCTCACATGGCTCTGGAGCCAGTGCTTGACCTCCAGTCTCATTCAGCTGCATGGTTGGATTCTCCTGCTCACAAATTAACATGGAAATGAGAGTTGGATAGCTTTGTTAGAAAAGAGAGATACAAAAAATGTTTGAGCATTCCTGAAGTATCAGTGGATTATCCTCCAGTGCGCTAAAGATGTTATCCTCTGCCACGTTTATCCTCTCCTCCTCTCTTCAGACTGCAGCTCTGCGCGCCACGTCCGTTTATAGGTTCCATGTGAACGCGCAGAGCTCAGTCGCGCGGTTGACGCTCATTTCCTCACCAGCCAGATTATTGGACCAGAGAAAATTCACACTCTGATAGAAGAAGACACATCACAGTCTCCCAGCACGCCCGTCAGGAGGCAATGAGAATGTAACGTGACATGTCACCGACACCTTCTACACAATCACGTTTGTTCCGTGCAGCTTCCTCATTAAAGGGGGCTTTGGATACGCGGAAACAATGGTGCGCGTAAAATATTCAAAGATCTGTAGAGGACGCATGCATGTGTTGAATCACAACTCTGGTCCACTTTGTAACGAAACATTACAAAGTGGACTTTTTTTGAAAGATTTGCAGAACTTCATCATAAATGCCTACAAGTCAATAACAAAAAGAATATCTGACTAATAATTATCTTTCTCATATTTGAATATCTCTTGTGTGTATTGTTTCTCTGTCCAGAATTTTAGTTTCATGCTTCCTCTTCCACATGATCTGCTGCATCAAAGGGGAAATCAATTCCAGCTTTCCTCAGTTTTTGCTGTCTCTCAGCTGGAATCCACAGAAACATCCTGTGCCCCCAGGAAGACTTCAGAACAAGGGTATACACTTTTTTAAACAACAGAGAGACAGACTTTAACAAATATCACTCATGTATTCCCCTGTAATCTTGTTTTGCTGTTATTCCCTTCTCTGTAAGTATTCCCTCCCTTTAAGTTTTTGAACAAATTATAGACATGAGAATGGAAAACTTTGATCTGCACAGTTTTTAATCCGCTGTGACCCAGTTGAGGATTTAAACAACCCTTAAACCCCCAAATGCACAAGCACTGACAGTGTGCAGGGTTTAATGTTCTAAGCTTTTAAAATCTGTGATGTTTAATACATCTGCACATCCTGCTTTCTAAGCACCGCAGTCATTTCAGGTGGCAAACCAAACCTTTTCATCCTCTCTAAGTTATTATCAAAGTCAACTTTATTGTCAATCTCAAAATATGTTTGTACACACAGAAAGATCGAAATACTGTTTCCCACAGTCCCGAGGTATACAAAATCTACACATTAAAATGCAATAACACTCAATAATTAAAAAAAAAACACTCAAAATAACCGTTACTTCAAGTAAGCAGGATATATACAAAAAGAGGATGTACATTGTGCAAAAGGGAGTGCAAAATTGTCCATAGCAGCGTAAAAGTGACTGTGACTGCATGGTGTTGGATTTGTTGTGTCTGTGTGTGTGGGGGGGGGGGGTGTTAAAGACCCGGTCCAGTGGGGGCATAGTGGAGAGGTGAGATAGAGGGGAGAGAAGGGAGAGAGGGAAGAGGTGTGGGGGGGGGGGGGGGGGGGAAGGGAGAGAGTTCAGCCTCCTGACAGCCTGGTGGACGAAGCATATTTTTCAGTCGGGTGGTGCTCGACCTCAGGCTGCGGAAACTTATCCCTGAATGCAGGAGGGTGAAGAGGCAGTTGGAGGAATGGAAGGGGTCACCCACAATGCTGAGTGCTTTGCGGGTGAGGCGGGTGTTATAAATGTCCAGGAGTGATGGGAGTGAGGCACCGATGATCCTCTCAGCAGTGTTCACGATGCGCTGCAGTGTCTTGCGGTTGGATGCTGTGCAGCTTCCGAACCACAAGGTGATGCAGCTGCTGAGGTTGCTCTCGATGGCGCCTCGGTATAAGGTGTGCATGTTCAGTTTGCGGACGAAGTAGAGGCGCTGCTGGGCTTTCTTGGCGAGTGACGTGGTGTTATTGCTCCAGGAAAGGTCCTCGGTGATCTGCACCCCCAATCATTTGGTGCTGCTCACCTGCTCCACTGCGGCACCATTGATTGTCAGGGGGTGTTGGGTTGAGGTTCTCCTGAAGTCGACAAATATCTACTTTGTTTTCTCCACATTATGGAAGAGAATGTTGTCTATGCAGCTGTGAAGTACACTCCACATTAAGGCTGTAATTTAAATTTGAACAAAGCCTTCAGTAACGGCAATGTCACGATTCTTATGTTATGTCACATTTTTTGTTTTGTATGTCTAGGTTTGGGTTTGTTTTGCTGTTCTGTTCTCCCTGTTTCATGTTTTCCTCCTTCTTGTCCGGTCCTTCTCCCTGTGTTTTCCTCCCTGTCGTTAGTTTCCCTGGTGTGTCTGATTGTCTGATTGTGTTCACCTGCTCCCTCCTTTACCCATGCTGTTTCTTGTTCCTTGATTACCCCTCCCTGTATTTAGTCTTGTCTCTTCCTGTGTTCCCCTGTCGGTTCATTGTTTGTTTGTCCTCCCTTCACGTCACGTTTCATGTTTTTCTCTCTGGTCTTCCTCCATGTTTTTCACGGTCAGTTTTTGTGTTATTGTTTTCCTGAGCTACCGTTTTGAGCCATGCCATGTTTTGTTATCAGCTTTTAAATAAAGCTCCCTTTTTGTTTCCAAACCTTTTTCCGTTTTTGTAGTCTGCATTTGGGTCCTACCTTTTCCGCGATCTTACAGAGATCATAACAGGCAAGGGCTGACGGACAGTAGCCCACTTAGCACATTAGAAAAAAAAATGTGGCTCCTTTTCATACTTATATGTAAAATTGTGCTTTATAACTCTTGTTTCATTGCCCGAGGCGGCACCCTTTATTAGGCTCTAAAGGTTCGACAAGTTTCTTCTGCATGAACCCTCTATATCCACTCTCTTTACACAATCCTGTCATCTAAAATTACACCAGCTTGAGAAACAGCACCAGCTGTGTTCATAGGACAAGGGATGTGATGTGAGGCAAGTTCGCCTCATAAAGTATAATGGGAAAGTAGTTGAGGGGAGATTGACCAGCACTTTGAGAAATTGTAGAGCGAAACGTTGGGCAAATGATTGAAAATAATCACCAGGAAGCTTCACAGTAATTTCCCGAAAAACAAAAAGAGGGAAATTGATGCTGTGTCTGGTCAGGATGTCAACTGAGGTGTGTATTAATGTCTGCGGGGGAGCAAATCATCGTCAAGTCTCTGGGTTTGAGTCTAGCCTCAAAGATCACATTTAAAATAAGAAGTGCTGCTTGGAACAACAGCACAACAAAAGATGAAAAAGTCATAGATTTCTCTTTTACATAACAATGAGAGAGCTACTTTACACACCCCCAGCTGCACACCAACTGCAACATCTTTGGCTTTCTTTTGGCATTAAGACATAAAGCCACTCAAGGGTCCAGCCGGTAAAAATGACCTAAGAGATCAAATGGCACAATCTCTTTACTTAAAGGGGACCTATCATGCAAAATGCCCTTTTGTCACCAAGTGTCAGAAAACACAACCCTCTCTCTTTTCCTCCATAGCCAAATCTAAAAAAAACGGGGCAGCAACGGAGCTGATTATTATTTGAATTTTTCCGACGTCAGAAAAGGGGTGCTCCGCCTATATGGGCAACTCTCCACCTATCAGGGGAATGAGAGACCGCTCAAAAGCGCTGGAGACGCTGTAGTATATATGCCAGGCCTGTAAGTGGCGCTGTAGTCTGCCACAAAAGAAGAATCAGTCCTTGCAAAAACAGTGCTGGAAAAGAGCAAATAGTATTCATGGCTAAAATGCATGATCTGTTTGGTATTTTGAAAAAAAAACTTGGGTAATCTGTTCAGTGGGTTTGTGGTGTGTATCGCTCGAAATATCCCTTATAGGCCTATGTCTGTTTCCAGTGACTTTATTTACGGCTAAAAAGCATGCTAAAAAGCCCAAGATTATAGAATTAAACGAATAAATAAAAACAAGGATAATTGTGTATTATTGTTGAGTAAATAACAGTGTGTTATTTAGAAAAGAATAACAAATTAGAAGGAAAAAAAGATTTTCAAAAATACAGATTTCAGTATTTTGAGGCTCTAAGCCCCATTTATTTTCTTCACAGACAGGACAAAAAGTCCGACATTATACGATCTAAAATAAAAACAAAAAAATAAAAAGATAAAACACTGGCATGTAATTTACGTTAGAATAAATAGAATGGTTTTGAATAATAGATGAGAGTAAAATCACTTTACAGCCCCGCCCACTTTTGGGGAAACCAACGCTGTCATTTGAACGGCGATCAAGCCTGAAGCCACAGAGATCTTCTGTTACTGTCCTTTTTTCTTAGAGGAAGTACAGAAATACGTAACTCTGGATTTGTTTTAATGTTTGAGGTGCAATAAACGACACAGCAGCTTTTTGGCATGTTAAAACTATTATTTTCTGCCTCGTTCATGAGAGTAACAGCTGGCGAAATTACAGCCTCGCCTACTGATTTCAAATGTGTGCTCTAAAATGATATTTATAAATGACTATTATCATTATTATAAGCAAGACAATAAATGGCAAAGATATGTAGAAAATAAACGTATTTAAGATACGTTCATAAGAAACGTATCGTGGGAGAAAATATGTTTCCAGAAGATATGTGGAAAATAAACGTATTTGAGATACGTTCATAACGAACGTAACGTGGGAGAAAATACGTTTCTAGCTAAACATACTTGAGAATGCAGTTTAGTCCTGTGGGAACGTAATTTTTGGGAGACAGGGTTACCATAATACATTCTGACGAAAAATACAAATTATTACGAATACAAATAAAATAAAAGAAGCCTCCCGTGAGTTACTACAAGCTATAAAGTAGATTTTAAAACGTTTTATAGAATAAATGCTCACTGCTGGACGTTGTAGAAATGCGTGTGTGCACCACGACAAAGGAGCCTCATTCACTTTACATTGGGGTTGTTTGCGTGGTGCAGACCAGAGCCATATAATAGAAGAGTTACGACAACGGAAGTCCAAAAACGGTTATCGTCACGTGGTTCATGTAGAAGAGGATCGTTCCCCGGAAGTTCATGGCGGGCAATGTAAATGCATTGATAACAGGAGATAGAACTACGATTTTTGGTAATTATTAGTGAATAAAGGTTTTGATTTGCAATATTTATACAACAAATCGATATGTGTATGTATTTACATCAA